AATATAAAAATGAAAAGCAAAACAAGAAAGGATGAAACAGAAGTAAAGAAAAAAAGTGATATTTTTCTACCTTTTATTTTATACATACATTTTCTGAAAAGTGAAAGCCTATAAGCTACAATTATACATGATGTAGGCCTATCCTCTCTTCTACTATTACATGTAGTTCTTAAAGATATATTTACAAGTGAGGACTAATATTTATTTTTGATACTGTGTCAGTAACTTACTAGCATGAAAACTATTTAACTTAGGGAAACAAATTGCTGCAATGCTTTGCCTATGTGTAACTATTTGATATATCTCTGCTATAGTATGTTCAAAATGATAACCTTATTGCCATTGCATTCAATATTAACAAATTAAATGAAATTGAATAGATATTTAGAGCAGCCATACCATCATGGACACTGGCTGGTAAATTGACTAACACTGCTCCTCCTACAATAGTATATTCTGCTTTTTCAGATCAATCTTGCCCCCCCCATACAAACACACACATAAAAAAATCACATCTCATCAGTCCTTCCTTTTCTCACATGGCATTGGGCTGCACACAAAGGCTTAAAATTGCCATGAAGAACACAACATAGGGTCTAATCTCTTCACTATGCCTTCATACCCTCTTGATACCAGTAGGATTGGAACTGATTGCATCTATTGGTAGCAAGTCTGATACACATAGATCCACCACACATCCAACCCACAGGATCCCATTAATACATTGCTAAACCCAACCTGACTTTCTAGATACCTCCAGATGCTCCTCCCACAGCCCAAGCTGTTAGGTCGCAAAGTCTCTTTCTATAGTCCCCTTAGACAGGAATGTGTGCATGTTTGTTTTTACTATGTATTTCTATTTTGTCCTATGAAAGATTTGTGATTTACCTAAGGTGTACCATGTGTTTTGATATATCTCTTAATACATATCTATTATAAATTTCTGTTTTTTTTGTTTTTTTTTTTTTGTTTTTAAATGCCAAGATAATGACACCTAATAAATGCTTTATATTAAATAATTGTATAGTTTCTTTCCAAGTGGACAAGACTGTCAATGCATACATAATTAATGAAAGATTGCTTTGATCTGAACACTACGTTATATGATATTCTATTTAAAAATGTATTAAAAAAACAATCTCACTTGATTTAGATTTAAGAACACAGCCACTGTTTTTTTACCTATCAAATGTGTATGCAACAAGATTTTGATCAATGAAAGCTCCCAGAGTAGAAGATGAGAGGGGTTGAATAAGGATTAATGTAAGTTTTTCTGAAGTATGCTACATTCAATGCACCTCACAACACCATATATACAGTAGAGCCTAGGACAGTTTTTCTTTTTATATATATAATAATTTTTAATCTAATTATAATGTTGTGCTTTTTTCAGTTTTGCGCAGTTAATTTTTTTTCAGCATTTATTGTCATTACACTGTCACAAGTACAGAGCAATAAAATGAACTCTCTGCATTTAACCTATCCCCTTGGGGAGCAGTGGGGTGCCACTGTGCAGCGCCCGGGGAGCAGAGTGGGGTTGAGGGTCTTTTGCTCAGGGAGCCAGAGAGGGAGTCTCTGGGTGTGAGGCTTGAACTCAGAACCTCTGGATTCAAAGCACAATGCCCTAACCACTAGGCCACTCCCCCAATTGAATTACTACTGTGAATTTATCCACTTCTTTAATGGGAGGAAATTTACAGTAAGTAAACTTACAAGCACAAATGTATTTCTAGTGCAGTTAGGTTATTGTAATACACTCAGAGCCATAATCAGGTCCAATTACATACAGAACAATTTAATTCAGATTTTATGGTCTAAATCAGATTTTCATATTATTCAGTGCAGTTGTTTTCTGTTTATTGAGTGGCAGTTACTGCAAATGGGGTCTCTGACCAATATACTTGAAAAGGAATTATTAGAAGGTTAAGAGCATCAAAGCTGTCCCTCATTTCGTTGAAATCATTTTCAATTATTTCAATTCTGTACAGCTCTTTCGAAGTAAAGATTTAAGTAGAGGTAAGCTTCAGAGTGATAACGTCCCATTGGATTCATATTGATTTGATGGCCCTACATTTGTGAACGCCTTATGAATTTCCTCTATTCTTTTTTTGTCTAATATTGTGTCTCTACTGCTTTACATGCTGCTGGGACGATTTGTGCTAGTTCTTTTATTGATCTTCTCATATCTGTTATGATGCATAATCATGACATCAGCAAAGTACTTCACATATATAGAGGGCTGATTGAGTGTAAAGTACTTTACATCTATAGAGGGCTGACTGAGTGTAAACTACTTCAAATCTATGGAAAGCTGATTGAGCTTTTCAAGGTAAATATTGCCAGAATCAGTTATAGCAGCACTAATAGGTGAAAACCCACAAGAGATAACAAGGGGAAATCAAAGTGTGTGTGAGAAAACTTTTATAGTAATTCAAGAGTGTTTTATTGCAAATAAAGCTTAACGTGTCATTTTTATTTAAACGTCTCAGATTAGTTATTTTAGGTACATTTGTATTGTTGCATATAGTAAAAATGGTAATTGAACATTACTACATAGTGCTAAAGAACACTTAAAGGTATTTGTAGATTAATGGATTGGCTTAAAGAAGGCTAGCTGTAATCAGTTCAAACCAATCTTTCATCAACCTTGTTACTTAAACTTTATGAAAGCAGATTATTAGTAGTTATTTTGTTTATCTCCAATATGTCAAAGCAGGGGAGACTGATCATTTTCATATGGTTCCCAATATTCAATGGGTTTAATAGGCAAATGTGGCTGATTAATCCAAAGAAAAGAAACTTTTATTGTCATGTTCAATGAAGAAATGTCTTTTTTTTCTTTATACAATGATCACACGTCATCAAAAATTAATTTTCCTTATATTACTTCATGCTTTAGTTAAAATACAGGTAACATGGCAGTGGAATCTGCTGCTGGCAGTAAAGATGCTTGCTTTTCTTTTTACATGAAAAAATTGCCATTCTTTCCCTTTTTTAGCTATCTTGTCATATTTTAGATATAAGGGAGCTACAAAAAAGCTACTTCAATTGTTTTCTTTTTGCTTCTCAGCAAATATTTAAGATATCAACTAATTAATAAAACTTCCCAAAACTTAACACATTATAGCCTATAGTGGAAAACATTTTGATTTAGCTTTTAAACTGGATTTCTGCGGGTTTACCTTGTTGTTGTTTGTCCCTTCTGCTATCGATCAAATGTATCTGACTAGCAAAGCTAACAAGCAAAGGTGGCTCCAAATTAACAACTGATTTTACCAGGACCCCACAGATTCTTCTATTTACTTCTCTTTGCTCTGCTGCTTAAAAAAAAAAAAAAAAAGATACCCCCTTAAATATTTTTCTCCAGAATTTGCATCTGGTATGTTAAGCAGGACGAAATTAAACATCCCAAATTAATCTGATAACTTCTCAGGCTTCCACCAGCTAGGATATACGATAGTTAATTGAAATTTCTATGCTACGGAAAAGAAGACAATGTCAGGAGTAAAGGAAACACGAAATTTTTGCCTGATCTTTATCTGACTAGTTGCATTAAGCTATATTGTGTTTTTTTGTTTTTTTTCTTGACAGTCTTTGGAGGTTTGCATATAAGACTAAGTAAAATACTATTTTTTTCAAATTTATTTTAAAAATGTACAACAAAATTTGAGTAAAGTGTTAACATTTTTAATGATGTAACCTTAAATTTATGTACAGGGTTGGATAAAGAGTTTTGTTAAAGCTGAAAGGCAACAAAAAAAGAGTTACAATTTGAGATCGAGACTAGCATATTAAGAGCCTGAGACCATGCAAAGATACTCAGACTGATTCTTTGCTGTTTATAATCTCACAAAGAAGGATTTAAGAGTTCTCAAAATCTATTTACCCAGCAACAGTGACAGTTTCAGTTACTCAGTTATTCTTCAGCTGTATTTGGAAATTCAACGTCATAAACATAGATTTCCAATTTCAGGTCACAGAACTTCGTTTGATTAATTTGAAGCTGTGGATGCTCAGACACAATGACATGCATGAATAATAACTCAGGAAAGAGAATCCAGTCAGCCGTCATAAACTGACAAGTGGATCCTAATTAAATGCTTCTGCATAGTTCATAAATTCTTGATTTATACAACAGTCCCTTTCCTCAGAGACTGTTGGGGGTCTTTTACTTGCAGTGGATGTTGCTGCACTGCTTAAAGAGAGAGGGGAACAGTTCCTTCATTGCTGTTCGCTTGCTGAAGTGTATCAACCATTATCATAGAGAAGCAATAAAAAAAGAGCTATGAGATATTGTTCATTTGGCCTCCATAAATAATCAAAGTCATCCCACCACCAAAACCCATCCCCCATGCCCACCCTCGCCATCAACACTACTGCCATCCATCTGTCTAACCTGTGGCAAATCAAACACCTGCAACAGCATTCCCGCTTGCCACAGGAAATGGCCAGCAGTGAGTGTTTTATGAGAATGTGTGTCAGTACTGATGAGTTTATTACAATTTAGAAAGAGAGAAAAAAAAAACATGAATGTTAATTAGCAGATCAGGAAGGAACAGCAAACCACACTGGCAAAAACACTAGGGATGGGGGGCATACAAGCGACACTTTTGCTCTCTTATTTGCACCAGTAGGAATATTTTATACAGATCCACACAAATGTACTATATAACTACAGAGCACATGTACTTTCATAAACATTAAAAAGTAGGTAATATATATGCACAGCACATTTTAATCATGTGCACCCATCCTTTTCAGAATTTCAGGGCAGAGGAGTAAGATGAAGCCTCTCTGAATGACAAAGCACAAATAAGACCCGGAGCTCTCATCTGAGGATAAGTATTCTTCTTTACATCCCCTCCATTTGCCTAGGGTACACAGTTTTATTCCTCGCAATAATTTGCTTCTTGCCGATCCCTTGGCCCCACCACTGCACCATAATAAATCTGATCCAGTGACTCAGTGCTCAAAGCCCACCATAGAGACAGAGTACTTACCAGGACTGTCATGCAGAGAATTCTAATTCAGGCAGCTCCATGTTGCCAAGGAAATTCAAAATGCCTCCAAATGCATGGAGTCTGGGATGCAAGGATTCAGGCTAGACTAAGATGGGTAAGAGGAGTATACGCAGAGATGAGAATCGTCTAAGGGGCATTTGAGAAATGCCTTCGTCCTCTCCAGATGCGCTAAATCCGGCAGTACTGATAGGCTGACATGTAAACACACAGGCGGCTCTGCTTGCTCACACACGCTCACATACATGCTGCACCTAGCAGAGAAAAGAGAGGAAGAGGGAGGGCAGCTGATGAGAGGTGGAGGGAGGAGCTGCAGTGCACTGGGAAAATGAGAGGACTGGGAGACACAGAGACACAGAGCACTGGAAGCTGAAAAGAGCAGAAGAAAAATTTTCTCTGATTGCAAAGGAGATCTTTGTTCTCGTTACTTTTCCAACTGAAGGTCTGCTTTGGGTTTTTTATTTAGATTCCAGCTGGTGTAGGAAAGATCAGGGGATCTATCGAACAAAATCCATTGCCTACCAGTTCACATTCCTCACAAAGGTGTGTATGTGCTTTTATAATGCATATAGATATGCAAATCCTTACAATCATATGCCAGAAGTCCACGCATCGGAAAAAAGGAATTTATAATAAAAAACAACAAAGTCATAATCAAGCAGAAAGAAGTACAGATTTGAATTTCTTTGGAGTAAATAAAGCAAATTTTCTGATGAATAATATTGTGGCTGCAAATAACAGGCAAACGAAGACAGTCTTGAAAAAAGGATAGATTGATTTTCTGTTTTTAAGATTTGTTGCCAGAGGATTATTGACATGCACCAGGAAAGAGAGGTAATAATCACATAAACTCAGCTTTGCTGCAAGGAGCGAAGTTTGGGGGAAGAGGAGCTCAGGTTTAACACTGGTAATAAATATGAGAAGCTGGCACATCCAGACAGTGGCAGTGCCAAGAAGGCCTCACAGTCAGGAAGTGTTTACAGGAGATTAGAAGGTGATAATTTACCTGAGGGGAGGAGGGCTCTTGGTCACGAAATGATGGGTAAAAAAAGCACTCCAAAGTAACAAACCATATGCTATATAAGATCACTCCTTATTACCTGTTAGTACAAATGTTGTTTTTCAGTTAAAAGCACTACTGGTGGTTCAAATAGTGTTTAACTGTCCTTGAATACAACACTGAATTCCCAATGTCCCTGATACGACTATTGGTGTTAAATCGTTTTAAATGTTAGAGCTATGCAGGTTTTCGGGTGATGAAAATAAATAGGAGGATTTATAAGTGTGAATTAAAGTGAAGTGCACATTTACTTGCATATTTTGCAGTTGAAGGGATGCATTTTTAATTAGTCTTTAAAAATGGATAGCAATTATTGTCAATAGGAAAGTCTATTTTTCTGTTTAACAAATAGCAGCATGTGAAACAAGAGACAGCCAATGGTGACACATCTGTGCTAAACATAAAACATACAAGAGGGAAGAGAGTTTAGACAGGAGGAAAAAACGACGCACTCTGCACCCATACAACATAAAACAAACGTATGGCTCGTTTCAGCAACTACAAGCTAATCTAAAAGCAATGACTTATTCCCCATGTAAGAAATAAAGCTGGCTGAAAGGTGGTGTTGAAGGAATTAAGATGATGTTTGAGGGAAAAAAATCAAACCAGACATAAAGAAGGGTGAAGTAAATCACATTTTTTTAAAGTGCTGAATGGTACAGCACCGACTATGGGCACTTAAAAAATGATTGAACAGCTGATTCATGACATGGCATTTACATTCAAAAGCGCTATGAATTTCCATCTCCTAGCAGAACCATGTGACTCGAAACCCATTTCTAGTGCCTGGATATGCATCCCAGAACCATAAGCTAGTTTTTTTTTTTTTGTAATTAAGACACAAGAATATCTTTCTCTCTCCCTCCCTGTACATGTATGTGTATGTAGATAGATAGATAGATAGATAGATAGATAGATAGATAGATAGATAGATAGATAGATAGATAGATAGATAGATAGATAGATAGATAGATAGATAGATAGATAGATAGATAGATAGATAGATAGATAGATAGATAGATAGATAGATAGATACATAGATAGATACATAGATAGATACATAGATAGATACATACATACATACATACATACATACATACATACATACATACATACATACATACATACATACATACATACATACATACATACATACATACATACATACATACATACATAGATGGATATTTCATAAATTATCTAAACACATACAATTTGTCTCATAACAAGATATAACTAACCTTTCAGAAATTAAACAAATTTTCTATTAAACCAGAAGATAGTTAATTGAAATTTTCTCTTAGAAATATAGCTGCTTTTTGCAGGTGGCTTCTGAATTTAGAAGAAAATCTCCTGACAGGATGAGAATTATCACCAAGAGAAATGGCCACCCAGATGAAAGCATTGATCGATTGATTGATTGATTGATTGATTGATTGGTTGATTGATTGGTTGATTGATCGACTGATTGGTTGATAGATTCATTCACTGACTGGCTGACTGACTGACTGACTGATTGATATCTTGCCCAATGACTGCTAAAAACAGACATACGCTGCACGGCATTTGAATCTTTGCACTCAGCTAAAGCTCAAACTGTACCACGAAACCTCAGGGTTTAAAAGTTAACAGCTCACGATGCATGTTCTTTCACTGTACGGCCAAAAGCTCTGATGCAATCTCACACTGCACATCCAGGAACCACACGTCTGACTCCTCCGCGAGAGATGCCGCTGGTTGGACTTGTCAATCTGGAAGAAGAAAAAGAAGATCCCCCTTGTTTGCACATGCAAAAGATTCTGGTAAATCGGCCTTATGCAGCAAGAGGCCAGATTCTTGGAAGCATTTTTCCCCCCTTTTTTTTAAACAAATTTTGATGAATTATTTTTTTACATTGTAGGTGACTGACTGCTAAAGCCAACTTCACGTTTGTATCTTAAATAGCAGACTGTTTGCAACTGCTTAGTCTGATTTTCAAACACTTTTAAATGGGGTTGAATGTATATTCACATATTACTGAAGTAAAAGGCAGAAACTTTAATTGCCTGTTCAATGTTTAGGAGTAAATTTGAAACTATTTCCATTATTACTTTTTTTCTAATTTGTTCTTTTCTCATAAAGTATCTCCAGTGTTTTGGGGTTTTTTGTGTTATTATTGCTCCATGATATAAATTATGTACCATATTATCTCTATTTGCAGAGATGAATGCTTGTCAGTTTGATGGTTACATCATATCTGTGTTGCATTATGTGCTGAGAACAAAACCAAAGAAAAAGCCCTTAACTCTGTGTAGTCATCCAGGGAGCTTGCCATCGCCCATTACCCCCAGTAAACCCCCAAAAGTCTCCTCTAGAAGCACTGCAGACATTTGGTGTAAAAACAAGGAAAGCTGCTGCCATGTCTTTCAGTTCCCCAGTCAGCTAGCTATTCTCAAGATGAACAATTAACAATTTTATTAACATTTTAGTGGGACAGCTAAACTGCTTCAGTGCCACGGAGGTTTAAAAACATCTTCAACTAAGAAGTCATTTTTTTGTTAATTATCATAGATCTTTGAAAAATACATTCCATGGTTCCATTTTTCATAATTTTTATAAAATCTGAATTTTATAGCAATGAGCTACATTATTGGGATCGATCATTTCACCTCACTTCATTCAAATACCAATAGAATTGAAGAGTTTCCTCCACTTAACCATAATTTACTTTTAACTATTTTTGGAACGTGTTCTTGAATTAATGTTTTTGAATATGCTGGAAAAATGCTGTCTTTAAAATTTTTTCGAATTTTTCTTGAATACTTGGTTGGCATTCCAACATTTGTTTTGTGTAAAAACCTAATTTTAAACCATTGTATTACCAGAGTAATATTGGATATCTAGATTTTCTTGGCTATTCCTATTTTAGGTCAATCAGTCTTTGTCTTTACATATGACGGGAAAAAAAGATGACTTTTTGCCCATACATCTTATCCAGTTTTAATTAACACAGACATTAAAACACTTTCTTGTTCTACCAATTTGATAGTCAAAGAAATGTCTTGAAGTCATTAAAACACCAAAAAATATTTCAGTAAATTGCCTCCATTTTTGAAATACATATCCATATTATTCAAATCAAAGACTATTACTTTTCAACTAAATTTTACTTCGTGGAAACATGTTTAAGGGTTTCATAAATGAATACACTATCAATAAAAAAAATAAGTAAATAGATAAAATGGCAACATCTAAATTTGTAAATAATTTCGGTACATTAAGAATAGTAATAGTAAAAGACATGATATATATATACACTATATTGCCAAAAGTATTTGCTCACCCATCCAAATTATTGGAATCAGGTGTTCCAATCACTTCCATGGCCACAGGTGTATAAATTCAAGCACCTAGGCATGCAGACTGTTTTTACAAACATTTGTGAAAGAATGGGTCGCTCTCAGGAGCTCAGTGAATTCCAGCGTGGAACTGTGATAGGATGCCACCTGTGCAACAAATCCAGTCGTGAAATTTCCTCGCTCCTAAATATTCCACAGTCAACTGTCAGCTGTATTATAAGAAAATGGAAGTGTTTGGGAACGACAGCAACTCAGCCACGAAGTGGTAGGCCACGTAAACTGACGGAGCGGGGTCAGCGGATGCTGACGCGCATAGTGCGAAGAGGTCGCCAACTTTCTGCAGAGTCAATCACTACAGACCTCCAAACTTCATGTGGCCTTCAGATTAGCTCAAGAACAGTGCGCAGAGAGCTTCATGGAATGGGTTTCCATGGTCGAGCAGCTGCATCCAAGCCATACATCACCAAGTGCAATGCAAAGCGTCGGATGCGGTGGTGTAAAGCACGCCGCCACTGGACTCTAGAGCAGTGGAGACGCGTTCTCTGGAGTGACGAATCGCGCTTCTCCATCTGGCAATCTGATGGACGGGTCTGGGTTTGGCGGTTGCCAGGAGAACGGTACTTGTCTGACTGCATTGTGCCAAGTGTAAAGTTTGGTGGAGGGGGGATTATGGTGTGAGGTTGTTTTTCAGGAGCTGGGCTTGGCCCCTTAGTTCCAGTGAAAGGAACTCTGAATGCTTCAGCATACCAAGACATTTTGGACAATTCCATGCTCCCAACTTTGTGGGAACAGTTTGGAGCTGGCCCCTTCCTCTTCCAACATGACTGTGCACCAGTGCACAAAGCAAGGTCCATAAAGACATGGATGACAGAGTCT